CTTTCTCAAGTGCAAAACATATTTCTGACTGTGGTAACAGGGTGCTATATCTCATCCTGAATATCCTGCCTCTGCTCAGAGAGGAAATCCAGTAAATCGTGGTGGTTTCTTTCACACGTGAGGATTTCCTTGCCTGTGCACTGTGGCAGGGAAGGCAGCCACACATTTCTCCAGCCACATTCTGCACCCTTCCTCACCTTTTTTTTTTTTTCCTAACTTTTGAAATACTCATATTTGTTATTACCCCCCCCCCCCATAATGGTGTTTGAATCTTTGGGTTTTGGTGCTGTAGGAGAGGAAAGTGTCACCAAAGGCTCCAGCTGGGCTGTGTGCAGGGGACAGTGATCCCCAGGCAGCATCTGTCTTACTGCTCTGTCCATATCTCCCCTGGTTTGTTTCCTTTGAACTACAGCTTATTTTAGTGGTGCTTAAAACTGTTTATTTGTCATCAGGTCTCATTTACTAGTCCCCAGGGGCCTGACTGTCAGCCTGGTACCATGTGAGTTCCCCTTGTAGGACAGTAATGTCAAAATCCTCACGTTTCTTCTCCTTTCCCCTCCCTCTTTCCCTTCATCATTGGTGCTGAACGGAGTTTATTTGGGTGGGATTCCAGCATCCAGCTTGTTGTGCTTTACCCAGCTGCCCTCCCTGCCCCCACAGCGTTGGGATCCTCGTTAGTGTAACACAGCCCTTGTAAGGCAAATGTCAGCAGGAACCCTGACTTTGCAATTTCTCAAGAGTTCATCCAGAGAGAGTTTATCTTTCAGTGATGACCTTTCTTGTTGAACACGGATTAACGTGTGAGCAGGGTCTGTGTTAACATGGCTGTTTGCAGGAGCAGGCACTGGATGCACGTCCCTGCACCCAGCATTGAGCCTCCTGCCCCTGCCTCAGCCTGGGCTGCCAGGCTGTTTGGGGTTCCAGCTCTTGGCTCCTTGACATAAATCACTTGTTGCCTGAACACTGAAAATCATCTTAGACACATGTTAGATGGGGATAAAGACAGCTCTGCTGAAGGACGCCAGGAGGAATCTGTAATAAAGCAGCCTGCTGCCTGAAGAGGTGCAGCTCTTGCTGTGCCAGCTCTGCACAGCAGCTCCCAACCCCACCAGCGCCGATACTTCGCATTAAAAAAACACCTGTTCTGGGGCTGATTTATGAACCTACATTTTTTATAATGTTTTGTGCCCCATCTTGCTTTCCCTCTCTGGTTTTCAGCACTCCCCGAGGCACCATGACACTGGGCAGAATAAGCCCGAGGCTCCCCAAAGCCTGTCCCTCTGGCCTGCAGGCAAACGTTCACCTGCTGATCAAAATTCACTGGCTCAGAGCCTTTTCTGTAAGAAAACCACAGCAAATTCAAAGTGAAGCAAGCAAGACATTATACTGCCCTGTTCCCATCACTGCCACAGCTCCTGACTGCTGTCCCTTGATCTCCATCAGTGTAGGAAGGAGCTTCTGTAGCCCAGAGGATGGAGGATCACTGGGGCTGAAGATAAAAGGTGGTTGGCTGTGACTTACAGGCACATCTAATCTTTTCCACATCTCTGCTGACCTTGATCTATCACAGGGCTTCCAGGGGACACTTGGGATTGCAAATTATGCATAGAGGAAGCTTTTGAACTGGAGGCGCTTAACCACAGCCTCAGAGCTGTGCAGTCACCCAGTGCAGGATGGCTTCCTGTGCAATTGGTTGGGAAATGGGACCAGAACCTTTCAGGGCGTGTTGGAAATGGGTCCTTTGCCAGGATTTCCTGAGTGCTGGCAGTCCTTGTGAGGGGAGGAGATGCCCCTGCCAACCCCCAGGCAATGCTGAGTCAGCCTGGTGGGTACTCCCAGCAAACCAAAGTCTGGAGATTCGTGGTCAGCTCGGGCAGTGCCTCTGCTGGGACCGGGCAGCAGGTCAGGCCCACATTGACTGGTATCAGGATATGATCAGTGGTTCCCTCCCCTCCTGGGGCAGCACAGTCCCCTGACAGTTCTTCAGCAGTGAACTTCCAGATGTCTGCCCTGAATCCTGTTCTTGCTGTGAGTTGTCAGTGGCCGGGGGAAAGTCTCCAATTCCTTCCAGCCTGCAGGGAGTTGGTGTTAGTGCTCTGTGATTCCACAGCCCACGGCAACCGTGGCACTTGCACAGCTCCTGCCTCCTCACAACTTTGTCATAATGACACGTCTCCAAAAAGTCTTAACTTTTCTTGCTGAAGCAGTGTCTGGAGTCTGGAGGATTTCAGACATTTTTTCTTCTTCCTTTGAGTCTCAGATTGTTCCCGGTTTGTGTAAAATGAACTTGTTTCCAGGTATTTCTTACAAGAAAGCATCAGGATTTGTGTGCTGGGGAAGTTGTTCAAGGTCCCCTTTGCTGTTGTTTCTGAGCCATGGTAAAGGTGCCTCTTGCTCCATGTGAGCTCACCTGAGCTCTTGGAAGAAGACAAATACTTGGCAACCAACCACGGCTGAGCAAATCGTTAGAATGTGGCTTTCTGAGGCGTGCTGAGCCTCCTGCTAATTATGGGAGCTTTCTGTTTCATTTATTGGATCTGGAGTGAAGTGTTGGCTCTGGAAAAGCTTCCAGCCCTTTCTGTAGAGTTTTTCAGGCATCACATGGAGCAGTGCCAGGGCATGGCAGCCTCTGCACAGCCTTTGCCATGCCTGTTTTCCATGGGCTCTCCTGTGAGCAATGTGGAGCATTCAACCCATGGTCAGTAGGTGGAAAAATTACCTTTTTCTTATGTTACCTACCTGCAGTCAGGACTTTGAATAAACCAGTGCCAGGTCTTCCTGGAGGTATGAAAGCTGTATTTCCAATCCTAGAGATGGAAATGAGAGTGCCCGGGGTGGGATGTGGACGGACAGAGCATCTCTCTGGCTCCTCAGTCTCCATTTGCTGTTCTCAAGGTTTCAGGACACACAAGTGTGCCCCTTGTCACCGTGCACGGGTTAGTGGCACAGCCCTGTCCCTTTGGATGCCACAGTGATGTCTGTCTGTCCCTGCCCATGCCGCAGGGTGGTGGTGATGGCCTCCCCTGGTGCTGCCACAGGGTTTACAGGAGTATTTTCCTAACAGGATCCCCCTCTCTGTGCCGTGTCCCAGCGCTGTACTCCTGCTGTCACTCACACTGGCCAACTGGGTTTTCTGTGTGACTTGGCAGGAAAATTCACATCCATTTTATTGAACAAGAAGGAGGAAAAAAGGGAAAAGTGCTGGCTTCTAGTAATAAAGGGCTTTGGAACATCTCAGCTGGATATTTTTCTTCACGAGTGAGAAGGCCAAATGTTATCTTGACATTTAATCTTTAATAATAAAAAAGGCTCTTTGTTTGCCAGCAAAGTCCAAAATCTGTTTACTCTCTGATGCCTTATTTCTTTTAACTTGCTAGCTTAGATGTCCTACTTACCCTCCCCTGTTACCAGTTCAGAGCTGCAGTGAATCATTTATTCTGTAAAATTGACTTTCCTGTCACCACAGAGCCACCAACTGAAGGGTGGCCTTTTTTTTGACCAGTTAATTCATTCTTTTGAAAACTGGGGACCCCTTGCAAGGGAAGGGGCCAGGGCAGGACAGGTGGTGGCTCCACAGCAGGTCAGGCTGAGCCCACCACAGCCCATGTAGGGTGCTGCCAAAGCCAGAGCACAGGGCTTGCTCCCGGGTTGGCTTCCATGCCCAGGAAAACCTGCGGGCGAGGGGCAGTGCAGACTGCCAGGCTTTATAACCTGTTGTAGTGTTTAATGAAGATCGTGGGAAGTTGCAGCCAGAGGAAAAGGCTGAAGAAGTCTTGGTTCGACCTGGAAGGCTGGTGATGGAGGTGATGGGTTGGGTGCCTGGTGGGGGCACCTGGTGGTTTGGGCCCCGTTGGCCGTTCGTGTCTCGGGGCTGCCCACGGTGGGGACACCGTGAGGCCCCAGTGGGTGTGGGGGGACCGTGCTCTGTGTGCTCCTGAGGGACCTTGCAGGTACCACCCAGGTGTAGCTCCAGCTTCCCGCAGCCATCTCCATCCAGCTCCTCCCCGTCCGCTGACTTTTCTTTCACATTGAAACTTCTTGTTCATAAATTCTACATCCAAGAGCAGCCGTGAGAAATGCCAGAAGCCTGATCATCTAACATGCTTTAATATCTAAATCTCTTCTTTAGTGTCATTCTTATTTACATTGTTTTTCTTTCTCAAAAAAAAAAAAAATAAAGGGAGGAAAAAAAAAAAAATTTTCTTTTACTTCCACATTAGGAGGTGAGTTGTCATCCACCCTCTGGAATTATTTTTTGCTTTTGATCTTTATTTATTTGTTTAATTTTGGTTGATGTCCCAAGCATGGTTTTGGAGACGAAGGTAGGTCTTCGCTCTCCAAATCAAAAGGAAAAAAATTAAATAAAACAACACTCTCCTTGGTCATATTTAAAAGAAAAAAATCCAAACTGTTCCATTCCATACCATTTAAAGAAAAAAAAAATCAACTATTGAACTATTTCTACAGCTTACTGATCTAAAAGGGCGGGTTTTTTCCAAAAGTATCGAATGGATCCAAAAAAACAATTTTCCTAGATGTGATTGAAGTTATTTGCTGTCAACATTTTAATATCAATATTACCACAATGTGTAGTCTCAAACTAGTTCCTTTGTAGTTTGCATGGGATGTGAATGCTGTCTCGGCGTGCCCAGACCTAGAGAACTTGTTACTACTGCATGAGCATCAAGTCAGATGTTGAAAAATACCTATTATATTTTGTGATAATTTGGTGAAAATGAGCACCTCCAGTCTCTGGTTGCAGTAGTGTGTTGAATGATTGTTCTTTTTTTTTTTTTTATATATATCCATATATATATTTTTGGAGCTCTAAGCTTCGTAGTAGTCCGGGCTGACTCTTCTCCAGTACTTGCTCTCCTCTCGCATGGCCTTGGTTAAGTGTTAGAATTGGGCCTAGGCTGTTTATTCTGGTGTTTGGCTTTGTAATACCGGTGCATGCCCGGCGTCTGGCCTCATACCCAGCTTTATTCTCTGCACACCAGTCTTGAATAGCTACAGTGCTCAACCGAATTTTGGCGCACCCGCTTCCCCGGCAGGCTCCAACCCAGCGCGACCCGGAGGCTTCCCCGGGGCCAACAGCCCCGGGCCCGTCGCGGATCTCTACGGCACGGCCAGCCAGGACTCCGGCGTGGGTAACTACATAAGCGCCGCCAGCCCGCAGCCGGGCTCCGGCTTCGGACACGGGATCGCCGTAAGTACCGCGCGCCGGCGGGGACGCGCTGCCCGGGCCGGGGGTGGTGGAAGCGGTGTTGGGAGGGGGTTCTCTTGGGGTTTGGTGGTGGTGACCTGACGGCGAGCACAGTGCCTTGCTGCTGTAACCTGTGAGAGCTGTGCCCAGCCACCGCTCTGGTTACCAGTCTGGAATCATCGGAATCATCAGTCACAGAATCATCAAGGTTGGAAAAGACCTCCAAGGTCATCAGTTCCAACCGGTCGCCCCCTTGTCAACCAGGCTGTGTCACAAATTGCCACACTTCCAGGGATGGGGACTCCTCCACTGCCCTGGGCAGCCCATTCCAGTGCTTAACCACTCTTTTGGTGAAGAAATTATTCCTGATATCCAGCCTGAACCTCCCTTGATGTAAACACGTGTCTGGAGCCTTCCACAGCCAGACCTGACACGTCTCAAAGGGGGAATATTTAATAATTACAGGATTTAAATTCCCGCTTATCCATATGGGCTTTATGTCAGCCCAGCCACCCATCCTGGCAGATAAAGCAGCAGTCCCTTGCTCCCACCTAAATCAGCTCATTAATTCAGCTGGTGGGACCCCCTGCTTGGCCAGAGCCACCCTGGTGAGGGAGCAGCTGTGTCCTGCTGCCCTTCACCTGTTTGCTGAGCTCTGGAATCACTTCCAGCCAGTCATGGCATCACTCAGTCCCTCAGATCTGCAGGTTATGAGCAAGTGGCTTCTGCTCCGCCGTCAGGTCACCGGGAGGTGCCTCCTAACGCCGCGTTGGGTCTGCGATCGCACTAATGAGGGCACAGATTGGCTTAACCAGGCTGCACGTGGCTGTGGCACTGTGTGTGAGCATGAATGGGGCTGCCTCCGCCGCCGCTGGCACTCGCCCAGACTCCGTCTGCATCGGTGGCTCTTGCCATTTTTGGAGTAAAATTATGAGGGTTTTTGTTTGTTTTTTCCTCTTGTACGAGGAAGTACAGAGGCTCCCCTGAGGTTCCCTCAAACTGGGTGGAGAACTCAAGTCCCTGATGGAATTGGATGGGGGGGAGTGGGAGTGTAGTGCAGACAAACTTCCTGGAGTTGTGTTACTTCCTTTGCATAAGCAACCGGTACCCAAAAAAGACCAACAAGCCCTCTGCCTCCCTTTGTGCCCTTGTGCTCAGTTCCCATCCTGCCCCTCCCATGGTCACACCGGGGACTTGACAATCCCTGTGGATCAATTCTAGTACCAAACATGGAATATTGCTGCTCTGCTAGGAGCTACATCAGTTCAAACTGCCACCTCTCACCACTTAAAACACCCCCTGTTTCCATTTTTCACCTTAAGAGAAAGACCTGTTTGTGCTTGAAAACTTGGGCACTTTGGCCTCAGCAATATCCCAATTTTTCAAGTGATAGGATGCGAGGTCCAAGCCTGGGTATCCGGATTTGTCTGCACTAACTCCCCCAAACCATTTTATAATTAACTTGCAGATTGGCAGCCTCTTAATTCCCCCAATAACTGCAAAGAATCATGTAGCTTTTTTTACATACATATTTATTTAACACTCTCCATTTACTAACCCTGGTTTAAAAATAAAGAAGGGAAGACCCCAAAGCTTATTTTTGCACCTGGGGGAATGAGAAGATGATGGTCTTGGAAAGGTAACCATAGAGTTGAGCACACCTGGTGACCAGAACAGCTCTTGGAAATCCCTATTCATGCTGGCAACACAGTCTTTCAAGTCCTTTGATAATTTCTTGGCAAAATTAATAATCAGCTGTTCCCATGTATAGAGCACTGATGAACTTAACAATTGTACAATTTTAGGGACCTTTGATTGCAACGGCTTTTACAAATGGATACCATTGAAACGTTACACATGGTTGGTTGCCATCTCACTTGGAGGTATTACAGTATATCCCATTTGTACTTTGTGCTGAACTACCATCTCCCCTATATTTACTTTAAGTGAACAATTTTTTATCTTCATTTCGTCTTTCCTTGGCCTTTAATCATTCCTTTCTGTGATTTGTGTTACTCAAATCAACCTCACAGGTTGGAAACTGGAAGACAGATCCAGAGCTAAACCCCCCCCCCCGCCAAAAGTTACTTTTTCATATTCATCATGCTTTGTGCAATACTTTGAGAAGCAGGAAATCCTGCAGAAACCCCAGAAAGCTGTGGGGAATCACCCCAGGGCCAGCAGCCAGCAATCCCAGTGGGATCAGAGATCTGCTCCCAGTGCACTGGTCTAAAAATAGCTGAGCCCCACTGCTTTACTATGGAGAAACCATCATTCATAATTAAGTGCTGTACCAAATATTACAGCTAAAAGATAACATTGTAAGTCGTAACCATAGAGCAATTATCAAGATTAAAAAAAAATTAAACCTGAGCAAATTAAATTAAAGACATTACCTGAGCACCGCGGCCCTGGATCGCTGCCAGTTTCCTACCCTTTGAACTAAGCTCGAGTTAATTAAATGTTTAATTTTTATTTTTTATTATTATTTGGCCTTTGGCATATTCGTCTTTGCAAACAAATACTCTTAACACCCGGAATGGAATAGATTAGAAAATGCAGTGGGAAACAGAAGTTATCCCAGTTAAATGGCACAGGTTTACCTGCAGAGCGCCAAGCCCTGGCAGGCAGATGGAATGGATACTACAGGTTTTATTTCCCTGCCTCTTGCCCAGCACTATCTGATCACTGTCACATTTTTTACGTTCAAAAATCAGTCTACAAAATTAGAATCACAGTTAGTCAAGAAGCTGGGAACTGGAGAATGGTTGGAAGCTTTAAATTACATGAAAACAGATTTATACCTAAACACCAGTGGATAAAAGGGGTTTCTGTTTACTCTCCATCTCCACACACACACCCCCAAGATTACCTGACAATTGATTTGCTCCAGCAAGGAGTACTTTTTATGGGAAAGGAGAAAGTGCCATAAGCAGTCCTGCTTAATCCCAGCTATTACTGGCACGTATCGGTGTCTGTTCGCCGATCAATTTGTCAGAGTCCTTCACGTTTTCTGGGCCGTCAGCCCTTGGAAGAGCGAGGTGGTACCTGAGGCCGACTGGAGCCTGGGCAGAACATCATAACTCAGGCTAATAACGCGCGGTGACGGCGCCATCACCAGATTGATGGGCTGCAATCACTCGGCTCTCACCACAGCACATCCCCGTGACCATCAGTTACTGCCCAGTGTTAAGGCTCAAACCATTAACGACTTAAAAACAAAGTGCTTTTAATGTTGCTCATTACTAATTAAAATAGATTTTGAGAGGAGGAAATGAGCCTTATTATTAATTCCTCAAGGAACACTGAGTTTGAGATCCTGGTGGCTGTGGCACTTCCCGCAGCAACCGGGCCCTCTCCTGCCCCAGCTGTCCCCACGTCCCCGGAGCAAGATGGGGCTGTAGGGGCTGAATTTGGCTGAGCTGTGGGTTCTCAGGGCAGGAATCAGCCATAGGGAGTGAATTTGGCTGAGCTGCAGGTCCTCAGGACAGGGATCAGTTCCCACATCCCTGTGGGGTTCTGGTGGGACCTCACCCTGAGCATGGCTCATGGAATGGGTTTTGGAGGTCATCCCAAATCTGTGACCAGGGAGTGTCCTCGCCACAGCCAGTCCTGATAGCAGCTGCCTGCAGAACCAGTCCCTAATATTTATATCTTTTATACATTATATATCTCAGCGTTAAGCACCAGCAGGGACGGAGCATTGGAAGCTGAAGCCTCTGTTATAAAATAAATCCTGGCTGCTGCAGTGTGCCCGGGTAGGAGTTGTCACGTTCCAAGTACTTTAGAGAGAACTCATTTTACCAAAGCCATGTAAATTCCTGGCGTAACAGATGCCTGAGGAAAAGTTTTTGTCCCTCCCATTTTTACTGCCCCTAAACCAACCAATCCCTCAGCTAAGCCCAGCCTGTCCCCAGTCCAGGCTTAGCTGGGATGGAACTGGAAAGTGAGAGCAGGGAATACATGAGATAATACCCTCTCTTGGGAGGGCTGTCCAGGGAACACCTTGGCATTCCAGCCTGTCACTCTGCATCCACCCTCAGCGTGGATCAGAGCAGGTTGTGGCTTTGCAAAGCATTTGCAAACACTTTGGGGTTTTTTTTGTTAAAAATCCTAATTGACCTCAATTAACTGTCCCTCTCCCCATGTCCATGTCCACCTTCTCCCCTTGCAGAGTCTCTCTGGATGTCCGGGCAAGACGGGGCGAAGTTTCTGAAGGGGCCCACGGTTGGGTGATCTCATCAGACTTTGAGCACTACATCATTATCATCATCATCTTCACCGCCAACACAAACTGGAGGTGGCACTCGAAGGACTTGAGTTGTTTAAAATCTCTCTCATCATCTCATGAATCTGCTGTACTATAAAAACAACAGCTTTTAAAAGTATGTATATAAAACCCATTTCTTGTTCGTTTTATTTTCTCGATGGGTCCCCCCCCCCCCTTTTTAAACCTCTCCAAACCCACATTTTTTCGTAGCGTTTGACATAGTCTCGTAGCCACGTAGTTGGAATTCTTTGTGTATCTAGCGAAGCCTAACCATAGCGTAACTGTTATATTAAGGGGTTTCTTTGGTTTTTCTTTCCCACCTCCCCCCCCCCTCCCTGTTTTACGCAGTTGTTGTTGCTTAAAGGATGCTGAGATGGTGACAGGAGTCTCAGCCGCCGGTCCCGGCTCTGCCGCCGCCGCGGGGGGAGCGGAGCCGGCGCTGGGCACGGCACAGGGGGGCCGGTGGGGCACGAGGGGGGGTGAGCAACAGGTTCTCTAGCCCTTCTTTTCCTTTGTGGCGTCTTCGTTAACTCTAATTCTCTCTCTATTTTCGGCAATAAGGCGAGGGCGACAAACTTTTTGCGCGTCCTTTTTTTCTATAAGTGCTTTTTTCTGTTGAAAGAGGTGATATAAGGTTTTTTGAAAATTGTGAATTCTGAAAAAAAAAAAAAAAAAAGAAAAAATAATAAAATGCTGTAAATACAATTCCATTAACTACATAGAAACTATTAAGAAAGAGAAATACAAAACCTATTTTTGTGATGGAGTCAGCCTAAGGCAGTTTCTCTATGAAAATGGAAGAAAAAAAGACAAGGACGTTGTAGCCTTTTGGAGCGACTGCCGGAGCTGGCCCGGGGTGGGTCGTGATGCTGTGGGACCCTCCCAGCTCTCCCAGTTCAAACCAGCAGCTTCGCTCTCAGACGTGCACAGCTTACAAAGGAACAGTCTAGTGGTATTTTTTATTTTAATTTAAAACCTGCTTTTTCCCAAGACTGATCAAGAAGCTACGATTTTTCCTACTTAACGTATTTACGGTTCAAAGCACACCTTTGTTTTGTTTGTTGTTTTGTTTTGGTTTTTTTTTTTTATTATTATTTTTCAGTCACTGTTTTAAACTAGATCAAACTTGCTGTCCAGTCATTTCAGCCGCTCTGGGCACCCTGCACAGCCCGGGGTCGTCCCCGCTGCGGGCAGAGCGGTGTCCAGCTCGCATGGTTTCCTTTATTATCCATCACTTTCTGTATCAACAAATTAGGAAGGCAACTTCGGTTGGTTTTGATTTCTATTTTTTTTTTTTTTTTTTTTTGGGAATACCTCAGTGCTACAAGTTTCACCCTAGAAGCAACGGAAGATTTTAATTTATTGTAGTTGTAAACAGAATTTAAAAGAAATAAAGTATAAAACATCATTGCACTGTGACTGGTAGGGGAAAAACTGACAGTTTCCTATTTGCACATGTTTAATATTTGGCTGTTATATATATGGTCCTCTGTTGGGGGAGGAAACTTATGAAGGATATTTTTTAATTTAATTTTTTTAATATTGGTAAATAGGCCTGCAACAGCAAACTAGAAGTACAACATGGTAGGTGGCATTAAGAACATACTGTAGTGTGGATATATTTCTTCTTTTTTTAACGTAATATTGACAAGTTTTATTAATATTTTTTTAAATTGTTACGTTTATAAATTTGGTACTTTAGGTACAGCCAGTATAAGACACTGAATGCGACATTTGTTAAAAAGAGCTGCTGCACTCCTATTTTTGTAAATTTTACTAACAAGTAGACTAATGTAGACATTCAATAGACAAGGTAGAGCAAGGCATCTTTAACAAAAACAAGGCACCATACTGCTAACCGAAAGGAGAAAACCTTGTTTTTCTTGTTTTTAAAAAAAAAAAAATCATGCTTTTTATGTAATATTTTAGGTTTTTTTCTTATTTCAGAACAACCAGGTTTAAGCAAAATGCTGGACGCTTTTTAAATATTGAGACTTGATCAAGTAATAAAAGAAATAAAACGATTCTTTAAAAAATAAAAACGTTTAAAAAAAAAAAAAAAAAAGAACACGGACGAACCAAATTCCCTGTGATTCAATGTGCCGTCAGGGAATTTTTTATTGCTATTTTGTCAATGTTGATGATGTACTGTACTACCAGTTGGTTTTCCTCTCCATTCCCTGTCACCTCATAGAATATTCTTTGTTGATCATTGTTGTATGTTAATAGTGTATAAAATGGCTTATCTTGTAAGAGTGCTGTCCTGATGCTAGTGTAGTGAATTCTTCCCCCCCTCTTTCTCTCTTCCTCTTCTAGTACATATTGGTAGATGTATCGTAATTAAGGTTAAAAATTTAGATGTAGTTATTCAGATTTAGGACCAGTAAGGATAGAACTTTCTCTTATTTAAGAAAAAAAAAATGCTAATAATTTTGGGAAGGTTTTCCTTTTTTTTTTCGTTTCTCTTTTCTTTCTGTTTTTTTTTTTTTTTCCTCTTGTTTATTATTTTTCTTTTGCTGATCTGATGCGGTTTCAACTAACCAAAGGTCTCACAATGTTAAAAATGCTGGCAAACTCCTAAGGCATTTGTAGATCCCCACCCTTGACTTTGGATAGGGGATGTGCCATACTACCTTAAATGCTAATGCTAGATATGCAAAACTGGATTTTTTTAATTTATTTTTTAAAAGAGGGAGGCACGGTATATTAAAACGATTTTACTAAGAGAAAAAAAAAAAAACATATTTTTTTAAGAATGCTCAGAAGAAATTGCTAATCTGTGTGAATATGTTTTAGATGTTTATATACCTTTTGAGAAGTCCCAGTGGCCCATAGCACAAATGTCGTGGAATCCGAGATGTTTTTGATGTGGCTACCTAGACTAAGGTTCACGTTAGTCCCCCACTCATCTAGAAATCCATTTTGAAGGATTTTTTTTTTCTTTTCTTTTTCTTCATTGGTTTGGGGGTTTTTTTGTAATTTTTTTCAGCACAAAGGTTCAGCTCCACCTTTGTTTTATTCAAGCCCAGCGAGTGAAGGATCATGGAATCATGAACTGGTTTGGGCTGAAGGGACCTTAAAGACCATCCAGTTCCACCCCCTGCCGTGGGCAGGGTCACCTTCCACTGGACCAGGTTGCTCCAAGCCCCGTCCAACCTGGCCTTGGACACCTCCAGGGATGGGGAGTCCACGACCTCTCTGGGCATCCCTCATTCCAAGGGATATTGCCCTTTGCTTTCCAAATCTCTCACACAGACTCGCTGCCCCCAGAATGACCAAAAAGAGAGATTTCCACCCTGCTGGGGGACCTGGGCACCCAGAGTGCCAGCGGGTCCATCCCTGCCCGGCTGTGCCGTGGGACGGGCCATGTCCCCAACACCAGGGACATTTTACAGGAGCCACAAGACCTCGGGGACCCTCCCCTGTCAAGTAATCCAAGTCCTTTGGGATCAGCTTGATTAAAACTAAGCCTGATCTGTCCTTTGGGGTTTTTAATTTTTCTTATACTTCCTAAATGTTCATTTTGAGTTGAATTTGTAGCTTGGACTTTAAGGTAGCATGGCTCTCTTTGCTGTAAGTTAATTTTTTTCCATTGTACAGCAGCATCTGCTGGTGAATGTCACACATCTTGCTAGGCTTAGTTAAACCATTAGGTAATTGTGGGTGATAACGACCTGAAAGGTGTTGGGATTTCTTTTCTTCCCTGCTCGGCAGCCTGGGATGCTGCTTTCATCCGTAGTGTGAATGAGGGCTAGCGACTCCAGCCACAGTCCCTTCTTGTTTCGTTTCTGCCATTCACTCAATGCAACATAATCAATAATAAAGCAATATAGTTTACTACATTTTTACTGAAGGCCAGCCATGGTTCTGTATGATATTGCATATGAAACTGTTTACAAAAACGAAAACCAACACTAACTCATAGCTGTCTTTTATGCTATGGCGATGTCTCTTGGGTGGAATCTTCTGAATTCTTTTTTTTAGTGGTTTGGTTTGTTTTTTTAAGCGAAATAGTTCAAAAGAGAGGAAAAACTGAGGTTAGAGTTAAGGCGAAGAGACAGGATGCATCGAAGACACACCGGCAGATCCCGGTCTGCGCACAGACACTGTAGAGTTTCCTACGTACAGAATCCAGTCAAACCCGTTGCCGCGTGCGAACACTACGTGAGGAGATTCTGTAAGCTAAGCAATACTTTAATACTGTAATAAAAATTACCAAAAAAAAAAAATAAAAAAAAAAAAAAAAAAACCACACGGAGGGAAAAAAAAAAACAAAAACAAAAAAAAAGGAGTTTGTTGGAGAAAGTAAAATCCTCGTGGTCGGTTCTCGGTTCCCCCAAACAAAGTCCGACTGTGTTGTGTCGAGAGCTCCGTGTCCGAGCAGGGCGGGCCCCGGCGCGGGGCCGTCCCCGTCACACCACCCGTGGGCTCGTCTGTCGCGTCGTAGGTAGCAAAACCCCCCCGTCATTCTCTGTTGTACGAGGTCTGAACTCCATCAGTACTAGGATGCAAGTGAGCATTTCAGGTGGTCATAAATGTACCTAAATAAACTATGGCACAGTGGCAGGCCTAGCCCTTCCTTTTATACTTTAGTATGAACTGATGAGAACTTTGGTAGTGACTTTTTTTTTATATATATACATATATATATGTATCTATATATATCAAGCATCTTTCAGGTCTCTGTGTATGGCTTTCTGAAGCCCTGTTGTAAAATACTATGTGGATGGGGGTCTCTCACATCACAGATGTGGAAAGTATAATTTTATATTTGTATTTTCAAATAAATAAGTTTGTGAAAGGTTTCCATCCTCTACTGTGGTCCAGAAATCAATGTGTTTGTCTGACGAAAAAATACAATAAACTGTTTTGAACAGATCCATGGAGTCCCTTTCATTGGCGGGGGAGGAGTATTTATTCCTGGGAGATCAGCCTCACACCCCAAAAACCCATCACCCTGTTGCCCCTCCTGTTCCCACTGGCAGGGCTGGCCCAGTACAACCAGCACAATCCTCATCCCCCTGCACAGTGCCCCCAAGTCTGGTCCCTCATCCTGTGCCCCACCAGGCATTTTTCTGGCATGATCAACACTAATCCCATTTCCAGGAGGGGCAGCGGGTGGCCATGTGTTCCCAATCCAGTTGAATAAATTCCCACACATCCTTGCTGTGTATTTTCCTCATTAGAGTGGCACACACTGTCTGGCTTCACCCCCTCTCTCGGCTCAGATACTCCACCAGAGGCTGTTTCCCTTTGGCACTCAGAATGGAGCGGAGCCAACTCCCCCCTCCCGTCCTCCTTTAGGTCTTAAACATTCACATTATTCCACCTGGGATGACACAAGTTCCTGCAGGTCCCTTCCCTGGGGAGGTTGGGACGTGGACTTGGGCAGGGGTGGAGGGGACACTGCAGCCCCACCAGCACCCACAAACCTTCCACCCCAACAGCCCCCACCCCAGGGATCACCTCGGGGTCCGGCCGTGCCGGGGGGCTCAGCAGGGACGGTGCCAGTGAAGGTCAGAGCACGGCAGGACGCAGGACAGGCTCTCTGGAAAGCAGTCAACACATCAAGCCCTTAATGGGATTGATGATTAGTGGAGCACCGAGGGGAAAATTAGATTAGAAAAACAAATGAAAATAATTTCGGAAGTCGTGTTTATTTGGGGTTGGAAGGAGCTTCCACTGCGAGGGCTGCAGGAAACGATTTGACTGCAATCCAGAAGAAAAGGAGCACGGGTCTGGAGTACATTAGTGTGGTGGGAGGCAGGGAATAGCAGCCACTTAACCCTGTCATTCAGCAAACATTAGTGAATTATGAGTGTATTATATGTGGGTGATGTGTTTTGTGCGAAGCCCGCGGGCCCACTGTAGCAGCACTGAAATGGGAGTGGGGGTCGGTGTCAAAATGTAAATTTTTATACCGGCTCCAGAATAAAAATAAGATTTTGCGTTCGCCTCCCAGCTACTGAAATCAAATTGCAGCCCAAATCAGAGTTGTAAAATAAGCAAAAATTTCCCTTCCCTGTCAAATTAGTGCCCCGATAAAGAAAACAAGGGAGATAAATGTGATTTACTTTCTCTCCCTACTGTCATAAACATTTATGGCCGAGTTGAACCGATGAGCTGCAGGAGGTAGATGGGCTCTTGGGGTTGTGCAGTGTCACCCATGTGGGGGGCTTTGGGCACCAAGCTTTAGGCTTTGGGAGTCCCTGCTGTGGTACCCACGGGGCAGGAAAGCTCCTGCATCCCTGTGTTCCATCCCTCCCAATCCTGTACCCCCACTTCCCCATCCTACAGGCCTGCCTCAAGATCCCCCAGCCCTCTCCATTGGGCTCAGCTCTGTGATACCCCACACTGGAGATGGTTGTCCAGGCTGTCCAGGCTGTCCCAGGGGGTATTTCCCAGGTTTACTAACCTGCATTGAGAATTTGAGCACCCTCTGCTCTTCAGCAGAGCCTTGCATCTGGAAGCTGCAGTTCAGCAGCAGAAATCAAGCCAGCACTTATTAATTATGAGCTTAAGCACTCCCTTTCATGGCTATTTACAAGGGCCGCCTCATTATTAATAAAGAATAATAAAATAGAGGGGTTTAAAGCTCATTTGTTCTGCTGGGTACTGGTCCCTGCGGCACCATGAGCCAGGGTACCACCCAGCCTGAGAGCACTGAAACCCTGATGATAATGAAACCCACCCCCAAAAAACCCACCCCTTTATACCATTCTGCATTTAATTATTTTAAATACCATCAGGCATGAGCAATTCCAGCAGCTCCACATGTCGAGGGCGCGGGGCTGCGGTTTTCAGCTGGTCACGAGGGTGGCAGCGCCCGTGTGTGGAGAGACACTTGTAATTCATTAGCGCTTTGCAAAGGGCACCGCTACTTGACTCCGTTTGTGCATCAGGCAAAGGCTGATTCCTGCTATTTACCTCCACGGCAACGGCTGGAATTAGCACGGAGCAGGCTGGAGCAGGCTCCCACGGGCCGGCGCTGGCTCCCGCGCAGCCGCCACTCCGTCAGTTCTGCTCTGAGGGGCAAACAAAGGACATCATAGAACTGTGGAATGGTTTGGTTGGAACCTTAAAGACCATCTCATTCCACCCCCCTGCCGTGGGCAAGGACACCTGCCACTAGACCAGGTTGCTCCAAGCCATGTCCAACACTTCCAGGGATGGGGGAGCCACAGTTGCTCTGGGCAACCCGTGCCGGGGCCTCACCACAGTCCCAGGGAAGAACTTCTCCCTAGTATCCAACCTAAATCTGCCCTCCTTCAGCTTAAAGCCGTGCTCCCCTTACCTATCACTGCATACCCTTGTGAAATCAAAGTCTCTTTCTGGTATGAGTGGAAAAACCCACTCCTCCAAGCCCCTGTATCCCAGGTGGGCAGCCAGCCCAGGTCCCCAAGTCTCCACACCCAGCTTGACCTTTCCAACATTAACAACTCAACCCTGATGGGGTCAGGGCTGGCGATGCTCAGGCACGTTCCCATTCTCTGCTGCATTTCCTGGCAGCCTGGGGACCAGCTGAGGTCCCAGTGACGGTGGCAGCGTCCAGCCCACAGTCTGCTGCTGCCACTGGGTGCTAATTGCTGTGACATATTGAGTGGCACTCGCTGTGGGAGCGGGAGAGAGGAGCCTGCACACCGCTCCCACTCACTAATAATTACTGATTAAAAACTAGTTAAAAAGGCAATGAAGACTGAAACGTGCATTAACCGGGTGACCCTGGCTGGCTCCAGTCATGGAGAGACGGGAGCAGGTACAGAATCAGCACTTCCAGTGTGTCCATCACTTGGTGATGATGGGCACATCCTACAGAGCACCTTGTGGGCACTGATGTGACATAAACATCAGCAGGAATAAAAAGCAGGTGAAAGTTCCTACTTTTGCCTTTTCTAAGCCTGCGACGCGTTTGAGCCACCAATAAAACTGCTCAGGAATTATACAGGGCTTTGCATCTTCAAAGCAAGGGAGCATTTTGTTCCTCCCAGCCCCTTTCATCCAAAGATTCAAAGTGCTTCCTATCAGTCCTTCACCACCTTTAGATGGGTGGGGAATTCCTCTCTTTTATCTTGAAAGAGTGAGCCGGGTTGGGCTGTGGGCTCCAAACCTTCCTGGCTGGAGGTGGATCCGAGGCCAGGTCCCATCCCTGTCCTGCTTTGCCGCAGCAGTGGCTGGGTAACACAGCAGAGGACGCCTGAGCTGAGATGGTGAAGGGAGGTGAACACCCGGAGGGGTGCAGCACCCAGTGCCAGGCTCAGCTCACCGCTCGGATACCGGGCTCAGCATCACGTCCTGAGCAGCGGGCACAGCACCATCACCTGGGCACCGGGCTGGAGCTGCCGGGATCCCCTCGCCAACCCCCGCGCGGGGCACAGGCGGCCTCTGGGGTATCGCTAACGCGGCTGACAGCACACGCCGGTCCAAAGGACGCGCGGCCGAGCTGTCAATATTGATAGTCGTGACCCTGTGTAAATGCAACCTCGCCGCTTTGTGCCGCTCTGGCCCCATCGATCCGCGCGCGGGGGAACATCCCAGGAGCGCGGCTGATGCCGGGGCGGACAGGGGAAGGTCACCGGCACATCCCGGCCCGCCGGGAGCCGGAGCCCTTCGCTGCAGCGGAATATCGCGGAGCCCAGCGGAGGGTCCCCGCCGTGCCCTGCACATCCCCCGAGCGCTGCGGTTTGCATCCATCAAAATAAAACGAGGTCCCGATGCCACCCGTAGCGCGGGGGGATGGCGGTGCTCCAGCCCCGGCCGTCGGTATTCCAGCCCGAGGTGCGGAACAATGCTCTGCCATTAGCAATCAGAATATCGGCGCGGCCGCTCATAGAAAATCAAGAGGCAAAATAATTGAGTCAATAGCGCTGCGAAAGGATTGCTCCTTCAGCCCCATTCTTGTGCTAACAATCCTCCGGCAGGGCTGGGGATTCAAAAGCCTGGAGAATCAAAAAGGAATTGATTTGATTCAGAGCTTCAGCCCGGGCTGTATTTAACACATCATTTTTGCTTGCTCTACATAGAATAGAAACTGTTTGAAGGCAGAGGGGCTGCCTTCTGCAGCAGAGAGACGGGAGAGCGGGAAGCACAGGGGCAGGAGAATATTCTGGATTTGTTGCTTTCCCAAGGGTGGTTGGACCCACACTGTCCCCACAGACGGCGGACGGACCCTGGGTCCCCTCCCCACGCTGCGACACCTCCGGGCTCCCAGTCCCCTGAGCATCCACCGCGTCCGGCTGGGCCGGCGGCTAAAACGGGACCAGAGACAATGAAGGGAAGCAACTGGTGATGCGGATCGCTGCTCCGTGTCCTCTCTGCTCCGCCGGAGCCGCCGCCTCCATCCGTCAGGCTCAAGGGCAGCCGCTGCGGTTTAAGGGCGCGGGATGAGGCGCCGGGGACGTTTCCCCTCGGGAGAAGGCAGAAGGTGCCTTTTGATCCCTCCCGTATCCCGGCCCTGGTACAGGGTCACAAATACCCTTCTCTCGCTGCCAAGTGGCAAAGAGTAAAACGGCACTGTTGCCCCCCAGACAGGCGGGGGGTTGTTGCCAGCACAGGCACGAGCTCCCCACAGCTCTGTGGGTGCTGCAGCGCTGTGCCAGCACCTGCTTTCTGCTGCCCTCCCAAACCACCACCCCCGGGATCCTGCAGCATCTCAGGGAGCTCAGTGCTGCCCAGAAAAACTTTCAGGGTAAAACTCTGTGCTGGGAAGTCTCTCTGACAATCATCTACTTTTTGGCAAACACCCATATATGTTTTCATGATATCTGTAATCATCTTTGGAAACCCCTCTTCTCCTGCTTTTTACCTATGAAAAGGGAAAGAAAACCCCTCATCCTGCTCCAGCATCCCACCAGCACCCCAGAGACAGTGAAGACAAACCAGCAAGTGCAAATTTCCCTGGATTCCACCAAACAGGTGGGCAACAATCACTTGGAGAGGACCAACGACAAGAACAACCCCACAGTCCCCTCCCCAAGGCTGTTCTACAATCCACACGTTAGAACATCAGCAACACCGAGGCAGCTCAGAGCTTCCACACTTAAACACGTGCAGAAAAATCTAAATTAACTTCAGAATAAAACCCAGTACCAACACCCTGAGCAGGGGAAGGAGCGAGTGCCGAGAGCATTCCAGCAAAGCCATTCCCTGCTCGTTGTGTGGCACGTGAAGCTCTTCAAACCCTTTTGGGTCGTTATACCCCTCACACAGCCCCAGCTGGCGGCTGCCTACACAGCGGGGACCCCCAGACCCCCACCCAGGCAGCTGATCTGATGTGTTGATGAGCAAGTCATGTCGCTATAATAAGGAGTGTTTATTTGAATAATAAGGTCAGGGAGTTAAGTAGTTGGTATTCCACTCGTAGGAAGCAGTTTGCACAGTGTCACTAATAATTAAAGGGGTTTTTTGACTAATCTAGTTGCTCTTCCTAAATATACTCCACTCTGTTCAAGAAACTCATCAAAGCAGCGAAGTGATCTTCGAGGTTATTAATCTCCTTTGCTCCACAGCTGGAGCAAATTTATTTGCTTGAATTAGCATGTAATAAACTTATAATAAAGCTGCCATATCCCTTGCTTTAGAGATATAGTTTGTGTAATGGGTAGTTAAATCTAGGTAATGTAGCCATGGTCTTTAGGCTCGGAGAAAAGAGGAAAGGAACAATGCAGCATAGTGCTGTGTTATCCCCTGCACTGGGGTTCAGTGGGATTTTTTTCAGGTCAGGAAAAGTCAGCCTTGTTGGATACCACTGGGACAGATATTAGGAAGAAATTCTTCCCTGTGAGGGTGGGGAGGCCCTGGCACAGGTTGCCCAGAGAAGCTGTGGCTGCCCCATCCCTGCAAGTGTCCAAGGCCAGGTTGGACAGGGCTTGGAGCAACATGGGATAGCGGGAGGTGTCCCTGCCCATGGCAGGGAATGTAACAAAATGGTCTTTAAGGTCCCTTCCAACCCAAACCATTCCATGGTTCTATGATACTGAAAGCCCACCAGGTGCCCCAGCATCCCATTTAGCCTCCTCTCCACTAGAAAACCAGGAATAGCCAAGAGCTCTTTAGAAACTCCCTCAATATTGCAAAGGAAGTTTCCCTGCAAACCCACGGGTACTTTCCCCAGCTGCCAAAGGAGACTTAGTCCCTAAAAAGCACTCTCAGGGCTGGCAGTCAGAGACAAAGCCCTGGTCACAGCCCCACCACTGTGGAGAGACCTGAAGTCTAAGGCACTAAGGTTGGCACCAGACCCGCCAGCAGCAGCAGGACCCATGGAAATGGAATATTTCAAATAGGGTTGAACTTTGCACAAGGTGCCCAAGTGAGAGGAATTAATTCGCTTCAGTTCACTAAGTTGAGCCTTTCTGGGTTGCAGTTTCCCTGGAACAATAAATCCCCTCACTTCTCCTTCCCGTGGAACACTGGTGGCACCATTGTTCCGTAGCTGGGAATGGGCAGATGGAGACGGATGTGGCAGGTATCAAAGTTCAGCAGCACGGGGAGGGCTGGCCCCCACCTCCTCCTCAGAGGTTATTATTCACAGAGCCTGGGCAGTAAATAATTTTTCCCTCTCTCCATTTCAGCTCTTTTCTGTTCCTGCTCTGCGCTGGAGCAGGGGCTAGGCATCAGCCAGGATGTGTCAGAGGTGTTAGACAAGGTATTAAGGAGGTGTCAATGGTGAAATAGCTGGGATTACAGTAAAGTCTAAATAAGGTGTAAAATAAAACCAAAGGTGATAAAGTCGTTGATAAGAAAAGCTGGAGAAAAATAGGAGTGCAATTATTTTTCATCCTAGTTGTTCACTCTCACAGTGCATTATCTGTGGCTTTGCAAAGACTTAAGTAAGATTTTTTCCCGGTATTTGGTATTTTATCCCAGCAGTGTCACGGCTCACCAGCCCTCGCAAAGCAGCAAAGCATCCGGCACCTCCACACAAACCCACGGGCCCTGGGCAGGGGCACTGCCTGCCCAGGAGATGCCCCTTCCCCCCATCCTTATCCAGGGGATGGAAGGGGCCCTGCCTGGCAGGATGATGACGTTT